CATACTAACTATATTTTTATAAAAAACAATTAGAGAAGAAATCAGAATAAAAAACTTTGCATTCATGGCGAAAAATTCTCTGTACCAATATTTTTTCCCGGCACTGAATATGTGAAGATATTTTCAGATAAATAAATATTAACAAACTATCTATTAACAAATTAACAATTAAATAAGAAGGGTTTAGTATATATTATAAAGTAGCTGAAATTATGTTTTATCTTTTTTGCCGATAGGCTGCCAATTATTTTCGCCGGTTTTGAAACGGAAATAGAAACTTCTTCGTCGGAGTTAAATTTTTGACGAAAAGCACCTAAGAAAATAAAGTGAAATATTAAACTCCATTGGAAGTCGGAAAATTTAATTAAGTAAAAAGTGGTAATAAATAATATTATTATCTGTACTTCTTATTGCCGCTGTCGTTGCCAAACCAATAGCGCTATAGGGTAGTTAAACGTTTAAATCCTTTAGTGTTGCTCCGCGCAGCCTGTGAAAGAATTGCAAAACTCGTTAAATTAATTTGTATTTTTGAATTACATATGTAGTAGCTACTTACAAGAAGTTGAAATATAAAAGAAAGTGGTAGATCGTCCTTTGCGTTTGCACTAGTCTGTCAATAAATCACATACTTAATAATTTTCTTAAATTTAATGTTTAACAAACTACTTACTTATAAAATATTGTGATTGAAGAAAAATTGTCAACAAAACTAAAATTTTTTCTTGTGCTGACAAATTACTACAAGCCTCTTTCTATTATATTTCTTTTGTTTTATCGTTTACGAGCTTTTCTCTAACTTTTTGGCGATACGAGAATCCCTCGTAAAACATAATGTTCGTAAAATGTACGTTTTCTTGCTGGCTGGGATTCCCATTCTTTGAATAAGGTACTTTTATTAAAAATAACGTCATCGCTTTCCCACCCGTCACTCTTTGAAAATGCCAATTTTCTGAGTAAATTATATAATGAAGTTTTATATTTTATTAGTTTCGTATTAAATTGATCTCTGACTTCAACTTGTCAAATTAATGGTTAAAGAGAAATGAGTTAAATTTTGATCAAAACGAAATTAAAATGCCCCACGCGTCCCGTTGGAATGCCCCCAATGCAGATGCGGTGCCAACAAAAAACGATATTATGAATTGGCAAATGAGCAGATGACGAGTTCTTATGGAGACATCAAGAGATTATAAAATCAAACTGTCGACTGGGCGTTCAAGTTATGAGTAAGTTGAGCAAAACAAAGTAATAGCTTTGTTTCTTTACCTTTCTAACAGATAATTATCAGGAAGAAGAGGAATGGAAAAAATTACCGAATTACGCTCATAGGGAGTGAAATATAGAAATAGTT